TTTGGCTTGCTCTCCTCTCAGGACCCACATGGCTTGCACCAGGTCCCAGGAAGGGCAAATTGGCTTCTCATTCTTCTTGTTATTCCTCCCAGGCCCAGGATGGCTCCTTTGCCATTTTTTAATTGGGCTACTTATCCTTTTATTATTGAATCATAAGAATTTCTTATATATTTTGAATAAAAGTCCCTTAATCAATGTGTGATCTGTAAGTATGTTCTCTCCTTCCATAGTTTGTCATTTTTATAGTATATTTGTAACATAAGAGTTTCTTTAGTTATAAAGTCCAATTGATTTTTTCTTTTGTTGCTTACTGTTGCTGTCATATCTAAAACTTTTGCTGAATCCAAAGTTATGAAAATTTACTTCTCTGTTTTCTTCCAAGATTTTATTATTTTAGCTCTTACACTCAGGTCCTCAATCAGATTTGAGTTCATTTTTGCATGTAGTAAGAGCTATGTGTCCAAATTCATTCATTTATTGAGATTACCCATACTTCTTGTTAAAAAAAAAAAAAGATTACCCTTTCCCTCCACAAGCCTAGTGAGGTCAACTGACTGCAACTCCGTGGGTTTATTTCTGAGACATCAATCCTCTTCCATCAATGTGAATGTCTCCTCTTCCACACAACCTCTGTCTTGATTATGGTTGCTTTAGAGTGAGCTCTGAAACCTAGCATTATGAGTCCCCCAACTTTGCTTTCTACAGTTTTTGTTGTGGCTATGGCTGCAGGGTCTGAGAGGTTGCACAGTTAGCATGTAGCAGAGCTGGACCTCCCTGCTTGCTCCTATGACAGAGCATTCCTAGAGGAAGTCACTGAGCCATTGTTAGGAGATCCCAACAAATGGGGGCTGTATCTAGGAACACCAAGATTTGACCCAGTACAGTGGGCCCATAGGTTCAAGGCTAGCCATCAGCAGAGAGGCCTCTTGCTGTGTCCCTTTGTCCTGTAATAGTGTGGTGACCTACAACGGGTCTTCTTCTGCACCCACTCACATGCATTGGCACAACCCAGCAGAGCCTGTGACCTGAGGTCTGTTCAGCCCTCCAGTTTGCCCACTGCCCTAACTGTAAGCAAGGCATCCAGCTCTCTGAGTGTCCCTTGCACAAGCAGCCATGAGGGAGATGCTGTAGACAGCCAGCTACACATCTCCTCTCCCCTACTTCTGCCCAGAGAAACCAGGAAGTGGAGGAAGGAGGACTCCAGAGTCAGCCAGCCTGGCACGGGCTCTGCAGGATAGACAGGTTCCTCTGGGGCACAGAAGGTACCTACAGCCAATGTCCAAAAGGTGAGCAGGGACAGGGTCAAGAGCTGATGAAAATCCAGGTGTCCTGAGTAAAATGAGACTGAGCAGGAAGAGAAAGGACTCGCACACATGCACACATGAAGCCCACAAAACCCAGAAGGGATCATCATGAGCAGGTTGGCAGTGGCCATCTGGGAGGTTCCCTGTCGCTTGTCCACCCACTCTGTCACCAGGAACACTAACAATGTACATTTTCCCTAAAGCACACAAGCAGAAATGGCCTAGACCTGCTCTCCTGAGTAGGCTTTTCTCAGGAGGTACTCCTGTCACTGATTTAACCTCTGAAAGAAATGAACCAAGAAAGAGGCATTCAATGCCAGTGCTGTCAGAGCCGCCCTGGGACAGATCCCACCAGCTGGGTCTGGCTGTCCAGGTCAAGGGCTGGGCTGTCCCTCTCCTGTCCAGCAAGAGGCCAGGGCTTGGCCTCGTTTCTTTCTGATTAAGCCTTGTGAATAGGTGGGTTCCAGGCAGGAAATTTGCTCTGTTTCTTTAGAATCTCTGTTCTTCTGTGTCTCTATGTTCATCTTCTCTAAAATAGTTTATTGTTAAAATAAAAACATACCGATGAGTGTGATTTAGATACAATTTTAATCATTAGGAATACCAAAACAAATTTAATTTATGTGAAGTCACTAAGATAGATAAGCGTGGTGGTGCATGTTTCTAATCCTAGGACTCAGGAGGCTGACACAGGGGATCACCATGAATTAGAGGCCATCCTGGGCTCCATCATGAGTTCAAGACCAGCCTGAACTACATGGTGAGACCCTGTCACAAAAAAGAAAAAGAAAAGGAAGAATAAATGCATGACTCATTCTTGCTAAGAATGAGCTATGCTACAATTAATAGCTTGTCAGTCATTAATACATCATTTTATTGTTTAGTTTTAAATATATTTGTATGGATTTAATTATATTATCAACACTTAGTTGAATATTAGTTGATTGCAAAACACTTAACAGTCATAATTTTTTAAGGAATTTGCAAAAGAAGCATGTATCATAGCATTGGAATTGTGTTGTTAAGACAATAACTTGTTTTAATTTTATCTTAATAGATAATGTGCTTGTTTTCACTTTATCTTAATAGATAATGTGTTTTCCTTATGTGTTTATTACTTGGGGATAAATTTAATGTCAGACATGAATTTTTCTACTTTGCTCAAACATACTTCCTTAACATCCTCTTTCTCTTCTGTGCTTTCATATTTCCAATTTTTCTCTGTATCCAAAATTATTTTTCTACATGTTTAAGATTTCTACTGTGTTGGAACCTTACTTTTTTCTTTTAACTTGATTTGAATTTGTCTGCCCATGTCTGTCTTATTTCACATTGAGCTCCTAGAGTCTTAGCAGAGAAGAAAGAGGGAGTCATCAATAAACATTGGCTTAATTAATTAATAGCATCCATACCTAGAGAACTTGTGTTCTTGTATGCAAGGTTACTGCTTATTGATATGATTGCATATATAAGTAAGAACTTGGAAATAAAAGACATTCTTTATTTGAATACATGGGTGATGATAATATTACTACTGCTTCTACTTATTGGGCACTTAATAATGAACTAGCATTTTTTAGCTTAGAAATTGAAATTTCTAGGAAATTAACACTTAACAAACAATAAGCAGATATCATGAGATGGTGTGTGATCCTGCTGTGATAATTCAGTTCTTCTTAAATCACTGAAGCACTAAACTTTTACTGGCAGATTGGCCCACTGACAGCATATCCCCTTCAGTAGAACTGGAATACTCCTTCCCAGGTCAGTAGGAATACTTTCTTTTCATTTTCTTTCTGGATTTCCTTCTTGCCTTTCTTTTTCCTCTATCCCTTCCTCCCTCACATCCTCCCTTTTCCCTCTACTTCCTGCCTTCCTTGACATCCAACCCACGAGCCCACGTCAGCCAAGGACCAGACAGAGCACAGAAAACACAAAGTGGAAATTGTCCCTGTTCTGGAGTCCTGCAGGGTCCAGAGGATGGTGCCTTGGATCCACAAAGAGTTCACGAGAAAATTTAAGGGAAATTATTTCAGCCAAAGGCAGGGCAAGTTTAAACGGCAAAGTCAAAGAGAAAAAGGCCCATCCTACCTGGTCTAATCTGTTCCTCTGTCATCGTCTGGTTTCATGTCTGGTTTCAGATCTGTGTTCTGTGTCACTCTGTCCTGGAGACAGACAGGCAGGCTCAAAGACTTACTTACCGTCTATGGATAAATGTGTGACCTCAGCAAGACCAAGTTTACAGGCAGGATTTCCAACTCACGTTCCAGCAGCCAACAACAGTTGACAAGGACAACTGATTTCCAGGCCAAAAGAAAGGGCTGCTAGTTTTGGGGGGTTTTTGGGAGGGGATGACCTGATAATGACTCCCTTGGGTGGAAGTTTGGTGGGTAATGACCCCAATAATGACTCCTTATTTAACTCAACTATCAAGGAAGCTGAGAGGATCCCAGCACTTTAGGTGTCAAGCTGGGTGATGGGGATGCAGATGTGAAATGTGTTGCCTCCCAGGATCTCCAGAATCTTCTGTCTCAACCCCTAGGCTTTCAGTGCCAGCAAACCACAAGGACAGGAGGCCTGGGCTGTCTGGGATGACTGATGCACTGAACATCTGCGTGAACTTCCAGGGGCCTGTACTCAATGCTCCTGTCCAGGAGGGACTGCAAAGAGCTCAGATCCCTGTCCCCGAGTCTCCGCCCTGTCCTGTCTTCCAGGATAGTATGAACAGTTTGTCACCTCGAGAAAAGGACTGCAGCTGCAGAGGAGGCTTATGTCCCAATCCTGGCTCTCCTGGAGATATACTGTACCCTCTCTGAGTGTGTTTCCTGTTCATAAAACTAGGATGGAGCTTGATTGCTGGCTACACAGCATAGTGCACAAGAAAATGCTCTGAAGACTCTTCTGTGCTACATATGTTGAGCCAGTACTGTCATTCTGCAGGCCCTTAAAAAAAATCACAGGCCAGATGAGGTTCACAGTGGGCATGGAATGCCCTTTGTGGGCTGATTTGCTGTCCCAATCAGAGGAAGGTCGGGGTACAGCAGTGGTTAGAGATCCCTCATCCATCCCCATGAGCTTTCTTGGGGGAGCAGCACTTTTTCGCAGGCTCACTTAGCAAACGGAATGAGGCTATCCAGGCAGGGCTGATTCCAGTGATCATGAGCCAGGAAAGAGCCCTTTGCAAAACTTAAGTGCAGGCCTAGAGTGCAAAATGAATCAACATACTATCCATAGCAGTGGAGATGGAAGAAACACAGCATCTTATAGATGATTTTACAGAGGTTGCTCATATATGACACTACCCAGTGTATCCGTGACACACCTATGAACTTCTGTTGGCCAGTTTTCCAATTGCTGGACACAATACCAGGTGGTATTAAAGGAGGTGGCTCACATTTTCAAGGGATTCAGTCCATGATGGGATAGCTGTAGGGCAGGAACATCATGGCCAAAGGACGTGGTGGAGAAAAACTACTTAGTTCACTGAGGCTGGGAAGCAGAGCAGGGGAATAGAGCCAGAGAGGAAGGAGACAAGGATCAGATATAGACCCAGATGATGTCACACCTCTGTGATGCACTCAGACACAGCCAAAAGTATGTGCTACCAAACTCCAGGGCATTGTTCTAGAATCCACTGAAGTAAGCATGTCAGGATTAACAGTCACAGCTCTTTATCTTGTCTTTCATGTTTTGCAGATGGAGAAATCGAGGCACAGAGAAATCAAGTGACTTTGCCATAGTCACAAACTGGGGAGGACCAGGAATAGAACCTGAGAGAGCCCAGCTCTGGGCCTGCGTCCTGCCCACGGAGTCAAGCTGCCTCCTTCCTCAGGAGAGAAGGCTCCCTGCAAGGTAAGGCCGCCTGGGCTCCTAGTTGTAGTCATAACACTGTGCACAGGAACGATCCCTCTGTGTGTGCAGAGACGCAAGCAGAGCTGGTCCAGACCGCCCTGGCCTGCACGGCTTCCTTGGACCAGTACGTGGGCACCTGGCCTTCTCCAGTGCACGCCCCTGCTATGCTCAACGGAGCCCTCACTTGCCTCCTCTCCTCCCCTTCTCTGCCTGCTCCTCTTCCCCCAGGAGGGCACAGAGCCCATGCTGGGATTTAGGCAGAAGGGCAGAGGCTCCTGGGACCCCTTCCCAAGCCGCTGGCCCTGCGGGGCTGCAGTTCCCAAACCTTGATCTACAAGGTGGCACCGCCTTCCTCCTGCAATGTCCCCAGAAGCCACCAGAGCACCACATCCACTGTGGGTGGGAGGGATTCAGGCTTTGAGATGCCACTTCTGACTCACAGCACATAGTCCTCCCACCACATCTGTGCTTCCAGTTCAGCGCCCCATCTTTTCCCCACACCCTTCTGTAATGTCCTCCCCTCTTTCCCCCCCTCCAGGCATCTGTAGGTCTCCCTTTGTGACTTAGGGAACACTTCTAGGGACACCTCTCACCAGTTCTGCCATGCAAGGTGGGTGCTGCAAGTCAGAGGTCCTCGCTAAGGTGACCTGTCTCAGGACAGGGGCCACCAGGACAGTGGAGGGTTACAGGTTTCTCCGGCACCCTTGGGCTGTTTACCACATGCAGCACGTGTCCTGAGCATTGGCACTCACCTGCTCTCACATCCAAAGCTCGGGAAACGGCTTATTCTAGAGCTCCTGCTATGGAGAAACTGAGGCAGGGAAGACAAAAAGCTGAAATGGGGCCTCACTAACTCATGTCTGCATGGTTTCCAAGGGTGGTGTCCTCTGGGGCCCAGGCATGCTTGCCGGTCACTTGCTGACCTTCCAGCCCCTCCCTTCCCGTGGCACAGAGCATTCGTGAAATCCATTCCCACGCCTACACACAAGCTGCTCTGGGTGCTCTGTTTTTTATATTCTTTCAGCATTTTCCTCCACTCTAAAAACTAAGGAGAACGGTTTTACAAAGAAGACTCTATTTAACAAAATAATCAACTAGAAAATTACTAGAATAATTTCAAATTCCTCTATGGGTAGAGTGCCAGCAACAACTTTCCATGTCCAATGCATTTGAATTTTAATTTATTTTACCACTTTGCCCCCCACACTTAAATCAGGGTGAAGGAAAGGTAAGAAACACATGTGAGGCCAGACGGCTGCAGTGTTGGTGTCTTCCGGGCCATCTGCTCGCGGCTGCGGAGCTGAGTGTGAACATGTGTCAATCCGACGTGAAATTTCTTTTATAAGGAAGAAAACTAGGCAGATGATGCAGGTGGAGATGTCATGGAGAGGAAATGCCAACATTTAAGATGACACTTGACCTCCCAAGCGCCAAGAGAAAAGCAAGATTAAACAATAATGAGAAAACTGTTTTACCCACAGTAGGAAAAGACTCATACTGTCCGTGAGCAGAAGGCCAGGGACCGAGAGAGGGTCATCACTCTAAGAGACAAGCGGAGTCAACAGTCCTGCATTGTAAGAAAGCCTGTGGAGTTTCACTTTTTTATTTTGTTATTTTTTTCTACTACTGAATTGAACCCAGGGCCTTCACACTGAGCCACATCCCAATCCCTTTTGCTTTTAAAATTTTTAAAGAGAAGAACAATAAAAACAATGACACAATTTCAAAACAAGATAGTAGGAGGGAAACAATGGTTAATACACTGCCATTGTTATCTTCAAAGTAGGTGCTCAGGTTACAAGAAATAGGCATGAAAATTGGATCAAACAATATAGGAACAGACGTCTCTGTTCAATGAACTAATAGAAAGTGGTATAACAGCCTTAACTATCCTGTATATATTTATTCATTTATTTATTTATTTTTCCTTTTCCCTTCCTTCTCTTCTCCTTTCCTTCATCCCAGTTTCTCTTTCCTTTTGAACAGTTTCTTCCCCTTTCCCAATACTTATTGTACATTTTGCATCTTATAGACTGTTTCAGCTTTTTGCACTAGGGATTTGATACGATGTTTTTCCATATGAGTCTGATTTATTTCACTTACGAATATGGTCTCAAGTTGCATCTGTTTACTTATAAAAACCTCAAGTTTATCATTCTTTATAGCTGAGTACTACTCTGTAGTATAAGAAGACCACTTTTTTAAATCCATTCCTCAGCTGATGGGCATTTGGGTTGTTTCCAAGATCTGGCTATTATTACAAATTGTGTTGCTATAAACATGGATGCACATATATCACTGTGGTATGATGTTTTTAATTCTTCTGGGAAAATATCTAAAAGGAAAATAGCTGGGTCAAATGGGAACCTTCAACTCTAGTTTGTTTTGTCTTTGTTTGTTTGTTTGTTTGTTTGTTTGTTTGTTTTGAGGAAACTCCATACTGGTTTCCACAGTCTACACTCCCACCAACAGTGGAGAAGTGTTCCTTTTTGCCCACAGCCCCTCCAGCATTTGTTGTTGATTTCTTGACTTCTTTCTGGAGTGAGATGGAATCTCAGTGTTGTTTTAATTTCCATCTCTCAAGTGACCAATGATGTTGAATTTTTTTTTCATATATTTATTTGCTATTTGTATTCTTACATGTGAGAAGTATATATTCATCTCAGATGCCCATTTTTGGATTGGGTCTTTGAATTATGAGGGTCTGATTTTTTTTTTTTTTGATCCTTTATGTGTTCTAGATAGAAGTCTTTGATCTACGAGACAATTGGCTAAAATTTTTCCCCACTCTATGGGTTGCCTTTTCACTCTTTTGGTGATTTCTTTTGGTGTGCAAAAGCTTTTTAATAATGTGAGATCCCAGTTGTTGATTCTTTGAAGCATTTTCCATGCAGTTTGGGTTTCATTCATGAAGGCTCTGCTTACACTTATGTCTTCAAGATTTTTATCTACTTTATCTTCCAGTAGATTTAGTGTTTCTGTTTAAATATTTAAATCTTTGATCTATGTTGACGTTAGTTTAGTGCATGGTGATAGACATGGGTCTAGTTTTAGTCTTCAGAATGTGTAAAGCCAGTTTTTCCCAGCGCCATTTATCTTTCTTCCAGTGAACTTGTTTGACCCCTCTGTCAAAGATAAGGTGGCTCAGTGTTTGTCATTGTGTCTGCATATTCAATCTGTTCCATTGATCCTCAGATCTGATTTCTTGCCAGTACCCTGCTGATTTTATCACAATAGCTTTGTAGTATAATTTCAGGTCAGAGACTGTGATGCCTCATACCTTGCCTTTATTGTCCAGAATTGATTTTGCTATTCTAGGATTCTTCTGGTTCCAAATGAATTTTAAGAATGTTTCCTCTAGTTCTGTGAGGTGTGTTAATGGTATTTTGATCAGAATTGCATTGAATCTGTATAAAAATTTTGGGAATATGGCCGTTTTCACAATGTTGGTTCTTTCTATCCATGAGCAAGGAATATCTTTCCACTTTCTGAAATCCTCTTCAGTCTTCTTTTTCAAAGTGATGTAATTTTCAATGTATAGGTCTTTTACTTCCTTTGTTAGATTGATTCCTAAGTATTTTCTTTTTTTTTTTTTTTCTTTTTTGGATGTTATTGTGAAGGATGTGGTAAGTTATTTGTTTGTGTACAGGAATGCTATTGATTTTTGAGTGTTGACTTTGTATCCAGCTACAGTACTGAATCTGGTTATTAAATCTGGAAGTCTTTTGGTGGCGTTTTTGGGGTCTTCTAGTAGAGTATCATGTCATCTGTGAATAATAATAATTTAACTTCTTCTTTTCCTATCTTTTTTTTTTTTGAGGCAGGGTCTCACTATGCAGTTCAAGCTGGTCTTGAACTCACTATGTAACCCAGGCTGGCCTTGAATTTGCAGCAATCCTCCTGCCTCAGCCTCCTGAGTTCTGGGATTACAGGTGTATAGGCACGCACCACTCCACCTGGCAGGTTTTTATATTTTTAGTGATGAGCTGATAATACCTTTTTACAAAACTCTTATGAAAATATGTGTACAGATTTGTGGGCTATTTACTGCAACTCAATTTTTGCGGTGCAATAAAACAAACAGATCAAATACAACATCCTAAATGCCCATTAGTGGTAGAGGAATGGAGGGGACAGGTGGCCAACTGTACCATGTATTCCAGGCAGGCTGACGGATCTAAGCAGCCATTCAGCCCACGGGCAGTGACCTCAGAGACAGCTGTGACTTCTGAAGGTGGAAGACAGCAAGTTTCAGGAAGATTAGCATAGAGCAGAGCCTGCTTTCCTCAACAGGAAATTCTCAGGGGAAAGCCACTGTGTTTATTCCTCTGGTGGTTGCGTGGTGAAGGAGCCACAATAGGGGAGGAGGTGGGAACACAGCTTGGTTCCATGCTTGCTGACTGAGCTATCCAGGGAGCTCCCTGGACTCTGCTCCTCCTAGTCATGACTGAGAAGCCGACCTTGCTGCCTGGATATGCAATGGACGGCTGAGAGCCGCCCAGTCCTCCAGACAGGAAACTTTGTGGTGAAAGCCATCACAACCACCAATGTGGTGGAGGACATGGAGGAGGTGTCGTGAGAATGCCAGTGATAATCCAGTCTCCACAGGACAAGGTGCAAAGAGGTCACTGGCCAGGGCAATGGAAAGAAAGAGGGCACTCACATGGGAACATGATGAATGGCGGGGAAGGGGAATCCAAGAAACAAGTCCCCATGACTGAAGGAGTTCAGCAGGAAAAAATGACCAAGCCAATCAAGACCAAGTGGGATTGGGTTGATACAGACAGGGAAGAAACCTCCTTACCACCCCGCCCATAAAGAAATCTACCAGAAAATTAAGGGAGCAGAGGAGAAAACAGAAAATACCAGTGAGATGGGAAGAAGAGAGGCTAGGGGAGCCTCTAAAGTGGACTTGGCACCCCAGAGGACCCAGGGCAGCTGGGTCAGGGTCCAGGCCGGTCTGAGTCATTCTCTGGGAGGAGTAGGGAGGGATCCTCCCA